ACATGTGATCCTATAGGTTTCACATGTAACCCTATATGTTTCACATGACAATTTACGAGTGTCAAATTATAATAAAACTTTTAGAAACCACTTCCTGTAGAACATGTACAGTAACACACATCAAGTTTTAGTCCCTTAGATTTCACATGTAAGCTTATAAATTTCACATGGGTTTGGGAGCACATGTTCCCTGTGCACTAAACACTTGAAACATATAATTTATTTTTGCATGTGAGGTCATGTGTTTTTGCTCCAGACTGACGATACCACTCAGGTTAACGTTCGTGCACGAAGCAGCCGGTGACAGAAACTGTTCCGGCTGTTCTCTGGTGAAGATCCAAGCAGTTTGTCTGCAGCTTCATGATGACGGAGTAAAAACTGGGCCTGAGGCCACCAAGTTTTCCTCTGCGCTGCCGGTGGATCCAGGCCGCCACCGTGTGGACGATGGAAAACATCAACGCTCACCAATGAGCCACGAGGGACTGATGGACTTTATTGTCTTGTCCATTTCCTTCTGACAAGAGAGGAAGCATCACTCTCTTACTCTGAGAGCACAACAAGTCCAAACATGAGCGTGAAGGTTCCCCCGTGGCCCTCGGCTCACGTTCCTTTCTGTTTTCAAGGTGAAAGGTCTGGAGGACGAGAAGAAAAAGCTGGAGAAGAAACTGGAGTTGCTCAAGAAGCAGGACGACTACGCCGTGAACATAGACGACAATCTGAGGAGGGAGGACAACGAGCTGGAGGAGAAGATAGACAAGCTGCTTCGGGACAAGGACAAGCTGAAGGACGATCTGGACAAGATCACGAAGGAGAAGGATGACCACAAAAAGAGGTTGGTTGTCCTGTGACTGTGCAAGTACTTCATGATACCACAGGAGTATAATCTTTTCATCTTTGTAGGTATGAAGATGAGATCAAAAATAAAACTAAAGTGGAGGATCTTTTCATCCTTGCCAAGAAGGTATCTTCAGCTGTAAGAAGCACAGTTCCATCCATTTTTAAATCCTGTTGCTAACGCTGAATGTTCACAACAGGAAGTGGACGAAGGACACTTTGCGTTAGTAGCAGATGCTCTGGACCTGGAGGAACTGAGCAGAGAGCTGGAGCGCCTTACCCCATTGTTTGAAGAGGTGATGGAACACATTAAGCTCTTGAGATGGTACTACACACGTTTCTTTCTTTACAACCACCGTTTCCCCCTCGCAGGAGATCAAAGAGCTCAAGTCACTTGTCAGGAACGACAAAGTGGTCCTTCGTGAAAACAACAAGCGCCACCTGAACATGGACGACATCGTCAAGGAGGTCAATAAGAAGTACGCCGACTTGGCCGCCCGTGCCCGGGAAGAAGCCGAGCTTTGGAACCAGAGGAAGGTGAGGACAAAGTAAAGACTGTGACTTTTTAAAATCGGTACGAGTAAATGTAACAAGTGAGTTCCATTTTCCACCTTCAGATGGACGACATGGTCTCGAGTGTTGCTCAGGGCGAGCAGAAACTGCGCGACATCAAGAGGGAGATCTCGGACACGAAGCGCCTCATTCAGAGGCTCAAAGGAGACCTGGACGCTCTGAAAAGGAAGGTCCGGATCACTTAAAACACGGATCGTTCCTTCACCTCCACATGTCCATCTGACGAGCCTCTCATCTCCTTTCTCTCTTTTCCTGTCAGGAAGACGCCCTGAAGAGAGACATTGACGATGCAAGAAAGGACGGCGACGAAAACATGGCGAAGGCTCAAAAAGACATCAAGCAGTTGGAGGACGCCATGAAGAAGCACAAGCAGGACTTGGCTCAACAAGTTCTGGACCATCAAAAGCTGTTGGACCTCAAACTGAGCCTGGACATTGAGATCGCCACCTACCGTAAGCTGCTGGAGGGCGAGGAGAGAAGGTACGCAACCAGGTTACACCAATGTGCACGAGATACAAGCGCAGAGATACCGACACTAACGTTAGTTTCTTCTCTGTCTTCACGAAGAATGAACGAGCGTCAGTTCAACGCAGGTGAGCGTCTTTTTTTTTTAATGAGAATCTTACGTTTCTAACAAGCTTAGTGTCGAAGTTCTCCACTAAACTGCATCAGGCAAGAAAAATAGAGGATTAAAACCAAAAGGGGTAATTATTTTAGTAACTTTATCTCTAGCTACCTTTTGAACCTTCGTTCAGACATTGACACTTACGCCCCGTCTACACTGCTCCGGGTATTTTTTTCTCCGTCCACACATTTTAACGAAAATGCTGAAATACTGCGTTGCACCACTAGGTGGCGTCTGTATTAGCAAAACAACTACAGAAAAAAGTCCGAGGATGTTTTTCTATGCTAGCGTTTATATTTCCTCTCATTAGTTCTCATTTCGACTCAAACGTTTTTGGTAACTGAATCGAGATAAAGTGAGACAGCGAACTGGTAAAATCAGACCCATTGCTGTTTGGGTTTCCACTCGGTTTCTAGAGCACCAAGTAATGGAAGGTGCAAAACAAGATTCTACGCCAGCATTTCTATATCGTCTGTTTCTACAAATAAACCCCAAACAGAGATTTTTTAAATATCACCATTTCGAAAAACTTTTTTTTTTATGTATCTGATTTTTTATTTACTAAAAAACTTAAACTGTGTAGAAACCGGAGAAGCAACCTCAGCAGAAATTCTGCTTTTGTAAAACATCTGTAGTAGTATAGGTGGGGTTTCTAATGAATGTCCAGTTTTCTAAAATTTAATTTAAATGTTTAATATGTTTTTTTGTAAATCCAGATATAACAAAAGCAAAAACATTGAAATTGGGTTGTTAAAGATAAAAATTATATCTTTTTTTTAATATTTGGCGTTGGATGAACAAACCAGTCAATACTAAGAATATTTACAATAAATATTTTCCTACATTTATAATCAACACAAAGGACTAAATCTTTTGGGGGAAATTACCTAAAGTTTAAAATTAACTTAAGGGTTTTTGACGTTATAATACTGTACATCAAATAAAATTTAATTTTAAAACAATTTGATCAGAGATTAGAAAGTTGTTTTTTTTAAATCGTTGATTTTTTTGTGGATTGGAGAAAAGAGTATCATGAAAAGAGAGAAAGGAGTTTAAGGATTATAAAATAAATTCTAATCCAAGAGATTTTGAAAAGAGTAATTTTAATAACCAATCCCCTTTCAAGAAATCCCCAAATTAATTTACACGAATATCATCAAATCTTTATTGATGTTTTGTGTTCCACTAAAATTAAACCTCTCTTTCACTCAGATTATTAAAAACAAACCAATCCACGTCCTTACTTGCACGCAGACGTTCACCTGCCTGAGAGAAAAATGTCCCCAAAGAAGCCCCAAGATGCAAAACCCACCATCATCCCAGTGAGCACCGTTGACCTGGACACCACCAACGACCTGGACAGCCTGATGACTTCACCAGTGTCCACTGTCCCCAAACCCACCATCATCCCAGTGAGCAC